TCTCATGTTTCAGTTGTTATTTAAGGTTGGTCGGCTACGAGCGATTTCACTCTTTGATTGCTGCACCTTCTAGAAAGATGTTCGCCCTGCAAATGTGGAGCCATCAACGCATTTTACCAGAGAGATGGAGATTAAGCCCAGAGTATCTACGAGTTCAGAGGGGCTCAATTCCAATAATGACTGACCCCAAGGCAGGTACTGCATCTGTTTGGAACGCCATCTGCAGTGGTTACATCTCATTGCCATGGCATTCCCGGATATGCTTGCTTTTCTTCCCCCCCCCCCCCCCCATCTACATTATTCTACAAGTGGTGCTTTTTATATGATCAGCAGAGCTTTGGTGGCGTTTTTAGATTGCGTACATGTTGGTTGCAGAAGCTGTCTGACCTGAATCCCGTTCTTCACATGGTCCTGCCCATGCTACTATAGAGGGTGCTGGTTCGACTAAGAAATCCATATCCAAAGAAATCTATTGGTAGGATGGGGCAGTTTCAAGGCATAAGTATCTGCCTATTTCGTTGGGTAGCCCATCAATGCTAGGAGATAATCCCACCTGGTCATATCACAGTAATGTTGAACAATTAAGCCAGTCTGTATGCATGCAAGTACTTATAGTATGCATCCCGCCCACAACACCGTCCGTATATGAAGTAGAGTAATAAGAATCATAAATTCGGTGTCCATTTGTGTTTGCACATCCCTTGTGGAAATACGAGTCAGCCAGTGGGCATGATTGTCGGAAAGTATTCCAACCTTTACTAGTAGCTCACACGCACAAGGCATCTACAATGCTGTTGCTCTAGTCGGGATCGAGCAAGAACGCATTTGAAAATGACCTGTTTCGGGATACGAGGACCACTGCCAGTCCCTCCGCAATACCCCTAAGTCGGCCACAGACATCAAATGACACCTGTATGGGCGCGGAAAGCGCAAGTGACGCAGAATGCTTGCGAGTCTGCAACGGCCGCTATAGGCTGCGAGAGAGGGAGTGTTCTCTGTTACCTGATAGCCGCATCAGCTTGCCAATGACCTGCCCAGCTGGACAACTAAATCAATCCCAATCCAAATTAAGTCATTAATCCTCAACTACTAGTGGTTTCAGAGGGTAGACATTTGGCAGCTCTCGTAATATACGTTCAAAGCCCAGTCCCGACGAACCAGGATACTAACCAGTGCCCATCGGGTCCTGGAATGCCCTAATCGAACCTCTGGCAGCCGATATCCAAAACAGGAAATATCGAAGCACGCGTCAGGTTCTATGTGACGTAGTAAGATATTTCGGCGCTAGCCGCACAAGAACCAGCTAAGTAGCTGCCTGGTCTGGCTTTCTAAAACGGGTTGATACTATCAGCATGATGCTGGAGCGCTACCTGCCTACACCTTGCCATTGGGTCCTGTTCTGTCTGGGTCTACCCAGTGACTGAACACACCGACAAATCTAGGGCCAACCAAACATTGAACGGCCATCATGAGAATGGTATCTTGGTTAGCTATGGATTCACTGTGCCAAACCGAACACAGGAACAGTATCCACGGGCTATCTCTATCGGCTGTCGCTATAGGCCTAGGATGTTCATGTTGCTTCCACCGAGCAGTATGAAAAGCGGAGCCCAGTTAATGTTCATGACCAGCCGCATAGGATCTCACCGAATATGAGGACTTCATACCAGAAATTCCCCAAGAAAAAGTAATCCCTCAATGCTCGAGCCACTAGCACGCTCCGATCTGCCCATGCAGCCGTTAACATGCTTTCACTGACCAAGGAACATACCGTACGTATTTTTCTATAGCTAGGGCTTGCTATCAGCTGTCAAGCTTCAGAGAGAATTCACACATTGGAGAAGCCCACAGATTTGTCAAGATTCAGCGTACAGTGAATTTATTTGAATCCGGATCTTGCCACGAGCAGGTTGGTTGGGTTTGAGTATAAATACCTGGCCACCCTTGAACTCTCTTTTGCCTCATCAGCCTCTCTCAGTTCATTGGAGTAACAGACCATTAAGCGCCCTCAAAGTAACCGAATACCATCCTCTACCAATTGTCTCTCAGGATCCTCTCAAGCCTTAGCAATGGCCCCTATTGGATCTAGCATGGCCAGCCCGGTCCCAGCCATTAATGAGCTAGTCGAGATCGCCGGCGAGGCTTGCCAGATCGAGGATGCCACTGCAGAGCCAAACAATGTGGTATTCGACCCGTCCAAGCATCTGGCTTTTGTGCCCCCTTCGAAGGTCCACACCATGGTTGAGCTCGGCTACCCTAACAGCCGTGGAGTTTCCCCTGTTGGCGTCTCCGAGCCCTTCCCACTATTCTCGGCCGAAGCTATTGAGCAAATGCGCAAGGAAGTCCTCACCAAAGAGGTCTTTTCCAACCACAAGTACTCGAGTGAGATCGCTCAATGCCAACTCAGGGGATATGCAGCTGAGTAAATATTGGAGCTTTCACCTTATTCGAGGCCACGACTGACACATAAAAATAGGTGCGCTCCATTTGTTTATGACGCCTGGAAAAACCCAGAGACACTTGCCATAATCTCCAAAGTTGCTGGTGTCGATCTTGTCCCGGTCATGGACTTCGAGCTGGGACACGTGAACATTTCTGGCCACAGCGAAGAGGAGAAGCACGATGCTCCGAAGAAAGCCGGGGCGTTGGGTAAGGGCATTGCCGTAAAGTCCAGCGACGATGATGCCATAGTCGACTGGCACACTGACAGCTACCCCTTCGTTTGCGTGACAATGCTGTCCGACTGCACCAATATGGTCGGCGGAGAAACAGCTCTTCGAACGGGCAATGGCGAGATAGTCAAAGTTAGGGGACCGCAGAAAGTAAGTCCATGACAGGTATTTCCCAAAGCTCAAGGCTTATGAGTCGTCCTAGGGTTCAGCGGTCATCCTACAAGGCCGTTACATTGAGCACAAAGCACTCCGTGCTTTGGGAGCGACGGAGCGAATCACCATGGTGACGTCCTTCCGTCCTCGGGCTTCGTCCGTCAAGGACGACACCGTTCTCACCACCGTCCGACCGATCTCAAATTTGAATGAATTGTATCATCAATTCACCGAGTATCGATTCGAGCTTCTTGGCGAGCGTCTCCGTGACGTCAATAGGCTCATGCGCGATCAGCAAAGAGCCCGGCGCACTTTCGATACTCGTGCTGCCAAGAGTTTCATTAGGGAGCAGATCGATTTCCTTGAACATATGGATAAGGAGATCGTGGAAGACGAAAAAGTGATCAAGGGCGTCTTCGATGATAGCCATCTCATCTCGGAGGATTTGAAGCGTGAGCATTCGCGTAAGCGGGCGCTTGCCGATGTCGAATGATGCAACAACCGAATTGCTACGTCTGCTGAGCTTTGTCATTTGAAAATTATCACTTTCGCTTCAATTTGGCTTTGAAAGACCAACGCTCTCATTTTGTTTTCGCGAAAGAAAAAAAAGATTTTTTTAAATCAAAAGGATATCAATTCAAACCTCTCCATATTCTCCTGTCTCATACATAATCCATCCAAACCTGCATAAAGACATCAGTAAATAGTCAGGAGACCCTCTTCTTGTAGGGGGTAACCCGCTACAGGGGTATAACCCGAAAGTGGGTAGTCTTGAAGCGGTTATCAAGCGCTTTAGTGCAACAGGAGCGGTTAGAACAAAGTCATAAGCCAAAGCCATGCGCTTCTTGGCTCAAGTATTAGTAAATGCACCACATGCAGATGACCTGCAGTCAGTTGCCAATTGAAGAGGAACAACATGGTGAAGCCGTGCGCACCAAGGGTCTGGAAGATGAGACTTCGTTCCAGCTCCATGTTGATTGCTGTGATTCAATCTATACAACCGTGATGAGAGAGTGCTAGAAGGGGATAGCCATAGTTTAGGGTATGAGTAGAGGAGATAAAATGCAAGTGTGGCAGACGGTTGTTAATGTCCGGATTTAGCCATGTTCCCTCTATCATACGATGGAGACACGCTGGCCTAGTTATTGCCACGAGAAATGAAGCCATCACATTATATTATTATAAGTTGTACCCTGCATACTCACATAAGGTTCACTGAAGCGCCAGGACATACGAAGCGAATGCACTAATTTGGAACAGGGTGATGGTGGCCAACTTGTCGGAAGTATCAGAACTGTTGGGGCATGAGCAGGCCCCCATCTCACTGCTTAACTAGAATAACTTCTGAACAAGTTATTTCGAACCAACTGCAGTAATAACCCCGACGTGGCCCACTCATGACAGAGCTAAAGAGCTGCTGAGATACATTTGGCGTATCGACGGTGAGACGGCGCCGGGTTACTCCTTCGGCCTTAGTTTTCCGTTAGGGTCGTCGTCTAGCCCTGAAGAGGGACAAATCACAGCCCATAACCTTGTCTGCTAACCCATCAGGCTGGGTTCAGTCCCTTTTCTCCCTGGTTCTTCTCGACTGGCGTAGACTAATTGTTGGAAGTTGGAAAGATGTGTTGGAAGGTACGGAGTAGAGATGGTTGTGGACTTGTGATGTATGGGATCGACCCGACGATAGGTAGAGTTTCGGCTTCTTCCACGGATCCACTCAATCATCCGCCGCCCCATTGTTTGTTCGGTTTGCGCGCAGATTCCCCGACCAGAAAATCATGCTCACGCCGGCCAGACCAATCGCCATAGATCATATTCCTCTTTTCTTTCTTCGAACCTTCACCCTCTGCTTCGTGCCGGCCATACCGTCTGGTATCTTCAGGCCAACAGCACCTCATCTCGACCTCTGGCGCCCATCTCCCGTCGCGTCAAACTCCAGCGCTTGGTGGGGAGTTCCTTCTACCATAGCAAAAGTCCGGACCCAGTTATGTCGGCAATCCTCGCGCGTACCTGAGAGTTCCCATCCATACTATTTGTATCCAACCCCTTCCTCCCCGACCGCAAGCCGTTCACCTTCCGTATCTGAGACGGTACTTGTCGCGACGGATACAAGGATCAGATTCTCGACTATATAAGCCCGTTACCACCAGCGTCTGATCCGTGTGTCCTCATACCATGTCCGAACCTACCCCCGCTGGAGCTGCCCTGAGCAATGGCTCCGAGAGCACCAGCACACCAAATGTCAATACTGGAGACAACGCGTCAGGGGTAAGCTTTTCTTCCTAGAATCGAGCTTTTCGTGCGCTGATATATCCCCCCTCATCTCTAGCTCTTTGAAACCCTGCAAAGCCATGTCGACGATATCCGTTCTCTCCTACAATGCGGCGTTTGCATCCGACCACTTTATGAACCCTACACCCTTGCCTGCGGACATACCTTTTGTTATAGTGTCAGTATTGCCAATATCGACGACACTCATAAGTTTAGGCGTCTAACCTTTCGCTCTAGTGTTTAACATCATGGTTTGTCGGTGGGAGGCACAACAAGACATGCCCGGACTGTCGAGCACCGGTGAAAGCGCAACCTGCTCCCGCATACTTGGTAAGCCCCTGACATCATGCTCATTTCTGATTCGATGCGCAATAGGCACTAACTGAATTACTCAAGGTCCGCGCTGTAGTTCAAATGTTCACAAGTCGCCCGGAGCTGCTTGATAAGGGCGAGACTACAGTCGAACACCTAAATCATCAACGCGAGGAAGCGGAACGACTGGAAAAGGACAAAACAAATACACACCCGCGGGAGGGGGGACTGTTCCGTGGTACGTTCAACAAGAAGATTCCAGTCGCGCAACCTATCGTGGACCTCGAGGACAATGTTGTGCGTTGTCCACGTTGTTCGTGGGAGCTAGAGGAAGATGAAGGGTGTGCACAGTGCGGATATCGACAAGATGACGAGTCTGTTACTGGCAGTTCGGGCTGGAGTGAGTCAGACGAAAATTCCGAAATGACGGACTACTTGGACGACGATGATGAGATTGAAGATGGATTTGGAGACGCGGACGAATATGGTTGGGACCCCAACCATGACCACTTGCCCCTTGATATACAACCTGCCGACATAGATCAACTTTATCGTCAATGGTATGGCCTAGCTCCTGGCGACCTTCCGGGTATGCGTGCAAATGGGCCTTTCCGCCGGCAGAACCATTATGACTGGCCTTCTGGAATTTCGTCAGCTCTCGAGGAAGATAGCGACATGGATGAGGAGGATGAGGATGCGGACATGGATTCGTTCATCGACGATGACTTGGAACATGATGATTATTCCGAATCTGACCGATCCACGGTAGTTGGGCGGCATGAGATCTCGATCACCCACACTATCGGAACTGACCTGTCAACCTTTGATGAGATGTCTGAGGAAAGCCTGGACGAGGAGAGCCTGGATGATGAAAGTCATAATGACGACGACGATGATGATGACGACGATGAGGATCCGATTCTGCCGCCTGCAGGTGGCATGCGGCGCAATCGCATCCAAACCTACCGAATACAGTCGAGTTCTCCATCTTGCGAGAATGGGACTTCTGGTACAGTCTCAGGACGCAGTGAATCCAGATCCCAAGCAGGATCCCGCAATGATCGACGGCTCCCACAGCAAGTGTCCGCCGGGTCTACTGTTATGGATGCAATCAGCGTGGATGACGATTCTGACGAAGGCCCCGTGCGACCAACTAGGCGGACAAGAGACAGGGGCCATCGCCGCCCCTCAGCCTACTAAAGCGCTCCGACATCTCATCTACGATTCCAATGACGATTGATATTACTTCCTAATGATCCATTATCTGCGACTTCCCCTGATCCTGCGGTGCTAGTTCACCCATCCTTGAGACCCCAAAAGAAATTATACCCTTCTATATTAGGCCTGCTACATACACACGAACAACCGAGCTGGCGATTTGATCTACGACCACGGAGAAAATACGAAGTCGTGTTCTATTCTACTTGCATCATCCCCGCGACCAAGGCTTAAACTTCCCTCCCAGGCCACTTGAAAATACCCCTGTTTTCAATCTCTTGTCTCTTGCTGCTCATTCAGTACCTTGGGTAAAGGTCGTTTCCAGGCGACGTTCGGTTTATTATGACAATTCTGTTTAAGAGCACTTGTATCATCAAGCATCTTATGGCATAGTCTTCTGTTACTCTTCTTCTTTCCCGCTTTACCATCATTCTAGATTGCAGGAAATGACAATCTCATTGATTGAGACAATACATACCAAAACTTCCCACACTGAATATGTGAACCATGACCAAGCAGTAGTTACTAGTATATCATTAGAATAGAATAGAACACCCATCCTCCACCCTCTCAGCCACGAAAACCCCAAAGCCAGCCTACAACCATACTGCTACCAAATTCCACACTGCATCCTTCCCCGGCCCGCCCGGCATGACATACTAGGACTACCACCTGTGACCTACCCCTCCCCAAATTCCAATCCTAACCGCGCACATTCGCGTGCGCGCGTCACGGCATTTAGTACTACATGAATAGCCCTTAGTCCTTCCCGGCCAACATACGAGTAAAAACTTACTGCGTATGATCATAAACCATAGTCGTAAATAATAATAATAGTAGTAGTAGTAGTAGTAGTAGTAGTAGTAGTATTATTGAGCTAAACTTAGTAACTACGTATGCAGCATGCCCCGCCCAACTCGCGGAGTCCACTAAATAGTATCTAGCCTAGGGCTGTAGGCACTAGGCAGATATCCCTATCCGCCTTCAGTCTAGTCGCCGGCTTTAGCGCCGGGGAATTAATGAACCCGTTAGCTAGACAAGCTAGACTTAGTGGCCTGCAGGGGACAGGGTCGTTGTCACGCTCGGCGCTTATGTTGTGGGTTGAAGGAAGGAGTTGTCGGTACATATTGCTGGCTTTGTTGGGGTTAGTTCAGTTGGCTTGACTTGGTGAGGGGGTGGATGTTTTGTGATGAGTAGTAATAATACTAGTAGTAGGAGAGGAGTCATTCAAGAAAATTGTCATGTTCAAAGTATATACATCGTACAAAAAAACCGGCTAAATCACGGAGATTAGAGAGATAGTAGAACAGAAAAGTACCTCGTCTAATGCGAACTTTTGAAAGCAATATGCAGAGACCACCGGCCCGGGAATAAAAGATACATGCATAAAATAGAAGGAGATATAGAATGCACAGACGCCTTGTTTTCACTACATTGCATACAGCCGTCCAGCGCCGCCACCAAGATCAGTTAGTCAGTCAGCGCCTCGATTTGATCATTTCGATTTTTCGGAGATGAATGGTACTTCGAACACCACGGCGCCGTTCCGACCGTCTGCGGTGGGGCCGTCATGGAAGTTGTTGGAGAAGCATTTGAACCTTGCTAGCCGATGTTCCTTGCCAACAGCGGCTACGATGCAGAGCCCATGTTGCTCGGGCGCAGACGGCTTGTTGTTGGTCTTGGACTTGGACTTGGGTTCCGCTGGCGCTTGGCCTGGTTTGACGGTTTCCGCACGACGCTCGAATACGGCAATGTCGTTGATAACACCCTTGACCAGCGGTTCGGCTTCCTCCTCGGCTTGCTGGGCCGGCGCACCGTCGACTGCCATGTGATCCGGGCTCGTCGGTGTGTCGAAAGCGAGGGTCTGCTTTAGTTGCTCGGATGGGGTATCGGGAGTAAGCGGGATGCTAGATCCTGCTCCGATAGGGCCCAGGGCAACGATAGTCTTTTTATCTTCCGAGATCTTCCAGGCCCGGATGAAGCCATCCCAGCTGCCACTAAGAACGACGTCTGTGCCTGGAAGGGTAGTCAGAGCGGTGATCCAGCGGGGCATGCGCCGGAGGTGACGGGAGTTGTGTGCTGCGGTTTCCTGGTTGACTTCCGAGGAGAGTTCGTCCAGTGGAGGTAAGGGGTCGAGGCCGTGTGCGTGAGGGATCGTGTGAAGCGGCTTCTTCTTGTGAACGGACCAGAGAGAGATGGAACCTGAGTCCGATCCCGTAACGAAGTGGTTAGGAGGTAACGGCGCTACACAATCAATGTTGTTCTCTTGATAGGAGGCGCTCTTAGAGCCACCACGGAAGATCAATTGGGATTCCTCGATAACCTTCCACAACCTGGCCGTGCGATCGCGCGCTCCCACACTGACACACTGATCGATGGCCATGGCGGCGACGGACGTAACATGGTCTTGATGTCCGAAGAGTGTTTCAACATAGGCATGACCGGCTGTACTCAAAGACCAGGTCTTAATGGTCCGGTCATAAGAGCCAGAGAAGAGCTGCTCTCCGGAACTCATGGTAGATATATGACGAGCGAAGGCAAGACCACTGACAGCGTCGCGATGTTGTGTGAAGGTCTTCAAGGGGGTAAGAGTCTCCGCATCCCAGACAATGAGTTTCCGGTCATGTCCTCCCGTGGCTACAAATTTTCCGGACGGCGACACTGCGACAGACAAGATGTTCTTGGTATGGCCATGTTCTTCTCCCGTCTCCGCAACCTTTCGCAAGCCCCGCACAAACCTGACCTGCTTTGGCTTCTTCCGTTGGGGCGCTGGGGGACGTTTAGAAGTTTCGTTTGTCGTGGGAACCGTGGAGGTGGGTGTGGCGAGTTCCCATTTGATCAAGGTCTTGTCCTTCGAAACGGTGTAAACGTACGGCGCGTGGACTGCAATTGACGTAGTTGACTGCGTATCTGCCCGGAAGAAGGTATGGGAGGCCGTCGAGAAGGCCAATTCGGAGGCGATCTGACGATAAACGCGTCCTTTGAATTCATCCTGCAGTTCTCGTCAGCTCTGCATGTAAAATGCCCGACCAGCCGAACAGGAGCGGAATGGGTTGATGGATACGTACAACATCCTCCTTCAGCCTTTCTGCGATCAAGTCACGATCGATTTCGGCAGCATCAAAGCCATAGTCTTCAACCTCATCCCGGACATTCTCCAAGTACCGCTCCGCAAGCTTCAATCTCCGGTCTCCGGCTGTCTCTCCCTCGTCGGAATCCGAGCCACTTTCCTCCTCCGACAAACCTGATGCGCCACTGAGCTCATCCTCATCGATGTCACTTCCCGAAACCGACGGCTCCCTAGTCTTCTTCTTGCCACTCTTTGCGCCCGCATCTCCGTCTCCATCGACACCTCGTTTCTTAGACGCGGGGGCGCCGGCGCGGTCTTCTCTCTTGCGCTTCCGCTGCGAAGCGGGCAGGGTGAAAAAGGACGACATCACCCAATGTAATTGACCGAAGCTCCGGGAGTGGAAAACGGGCGGTAAAAGAGGGTCTGGAGGGGAAGAAGGCTCTGGCAAATTGGCCGATGCGATGGAGATACTCGGTTTCTCACTTTTTTCTGCCGGTGGACCGTGCAGGCGGAAGGCGCATCAACTTTACGCCTAATTGCTGACTCAGCGCGGAGCTCAGGCCTAAGGCAGTAAGGCAACAAGAGCCGCAGCTCCAGGCAGTCAAAGCTCCGCGCGGCCAACGATGGGCTCTCGACTGTCATCTTCCCATCACCTCTTCCATTACCGCCCTCTCTTTCATCTTTCCTTTAAAATAATCACACCCTGAGAGACTACAGACATGTAAGCACACCGCAATTTAAATTGATGGACACGACGCTCACTCATCCTCGTTCACAGGGAGGTTCTACTCGGCATCACTGGCAAGGACTTCGTCATTCTGGCGGCCTCCAAGGCTGCCATGAGGGGCCCCACCATCCTCAAAGCCGAAGATGACAAGACAAAGCAGCTGAACGAACACAATCTTATGGCCTTCTCCGGAGAGGCGGGAGACACGGGTTCGTCGCAGCTTCCCCAGTGATCGGTGACGCGGAACAGCTAGGACCTACATAGCTAACCCGGAGCTCAACTAGTACAATTTGCGGAGTACATCCAAGCCAACATCCAACTATACACGATGCGGAACGATACCGAGCTGGGTCCGAATGCAGTTGCTAGCTTTGTTCGGGGAGAAATGGCGCGGAGTCTGCGGTCTCGGAATCCCTACACTGTCAACCTCTTGCTGGGAGGTGTCGATCCCATTACGCACAAGCCTCACCTATACTGGATTGATTACCTGGCATCACTGGCTCCTGTACCATATGCTGCTCACGGATATGCACAGTAAGTGCGGGCGCTGGGTAACAGCGGTCCCAGCTGTTGGGATTCTCACTAAATTGCTCTAGATACTACTGTCTGTCCACCCTCGATAAACACCACCACCCCGACATTTCGCTCGAAGAAGGAATGAAGCTCTTGGAAATGTGCACAGACGAGTTGAAGCGCAGACTACCGATCGATTACAAGGGGGTATGTTACCGGAATCATAGGCCCTGGAGTGCGAGCGAGTACGGGTAGCTGACAGCTTCTAGGTTCTGGTGAAGATCGTGACTAAGGACGGCGTGCAAGAAGTACCATTCGATAATAACAGGATTGTCAAGAGTGCCTAATGTGATGTATCATACCAATGATTGTCTAATGTTTTCGGTTTCACGGGACTTGGGTTTCAAGAGAAGATCGGTTTGCATGGCAGGGTATTTTCCATGACTTTGACCGAGACATAGTCTCTCCTATTATTTAGCTAGGTAGAGACAATATCAATGATTTCTCGAGAAGTCGCCTTGTCCGTAATGTCGTAGCACTAGCGCACCTAGCTTGATGCCGCCGGGTTGCGATTCCATGATGCCGTATGTAACCAAGCACCTTATGACGCTGTGCGGGTGTTTGGCATGTTTGCACCCGGCGGTTTGCATCGCGTCCTTCGCAGTTTGAATCCCGCAACCCCAGCAGCTTCCCTCACAAATCTCGCCATTCTACACAGTCATGATGTCGAAGAGACAAGCTGAGCTGTCGCTCGAGGAAGAGCTTGCAGCAGGCTCCCCTGCCTCGAAGAAGGCGCGTGTGGAGGATGAAGAGCTGTCGGAAAACGATCCGCGCCGTGGAGCTTTGCCGATTCGCCGGGCGACTGGACAGGAGCTTGAAGAACATGAGCGCAGCGGACAGAATATACTTGCGGCTGCCGACCAGGAAGGCGAAGAGCTAGCGGAAGCAGCGCAAGATGGAGGCCCCGAATCGTCCGATGTTGATGCTGATGACGACAAACCGGTTATCGCGGC